GTAATGGGTGGCAGTTACAAAGAGGTAACTTTAGGCTTATTTGCAAGTTTCCTAACAATTAAAGCTATCCTAAAGTAGAATTGGTTGTTTTTGGAGGTAGTAATTTTCCCTCCCTGGGTGGTGTTCCAGCAGAGGTTAGATGATTACTTATATATGTTATAGAGGGAATTCCTTTTCAGGAATTGTTTGGAGTAGACAGCCACTGAGGTCCCTTCCCACCTTGAAATTCTGTAATTTTGATTTCAAATTGTGGTGGCAATGATAGAAATAATGAAATTAGGAGGTTCAAGTTTAAGGGGAAAGGTAGGATTTAGTATGTTGAACTTGGGCTGGTAGTGAAATGCTAAATGGTCAAGGATCCAGCAAAAGAGAAAGTGATGCTTCCTTACCTAGGAAGCCAAGGGAGGAAATAGTATCCAGTAAGTGTGTTCTGTGGGGGACATGAGGGTGGGGGTGGGTGGTGGTGGTGGTGCTCAGCAATGTCAAACACTACATAGAGAATAAGGACTGCAAAAAAGATAGTGAATTTCCTGATTAGGATGTCATTAATAATACTGCAGGTATAATGGAGTATAGGACATAGAATAGGTGAGTGGGGGTGAGTAGAAGCCAGATTGTAAGAGGCTGATTGTAAGAGGTGGTAGGGGAGTAGGGGATCCCTTCTGGGTGAGTCATTAGGCTCAATGATCCCATTTCCTACTGACTCAGGTACTGTATAGACTACGTGGGGAAGAAGGGGGGGGTAGTAGCCAAATTAGGTAGAAATGTAAAGAAGGGTTTTTGTTTGTTTGTTTTTTAGGACTGGGAGATCTGAACATGCTCATAGGAAGATTTAAAAACAAAAACAAAAAATCAGAAAAGGAATGATAGAATAAATGATAGAAGTTGTATGAGAAAGGTGATAATTGCTGGAGTCAGGTACTTAAAGAGGCAAGAAGGAATGGGATTAAGGGTGCCAGTATAGGGATTCATTTTAGTGAGAAGCAAGGAAACTTCTTATTCTGTGAGAGAGAATAATATTCAGAGAGAAAGAGTGAGTGAAGATGTAGATATGTTTCGAGGAATGGAGGAAGGGTTGAAGGAGATCATACTGGATGATTTTTCTATTACCAAATGAGAATAATGTATACAAAATGTTATAGAAAGGTCAGTTATCAGTCAACTATGGGTTTAAGGGAGAATTAGCTCTGGGTATTGAGAGTAAAGGAGAAGGCCCAGAGTACTCAGCTAAATAACCCAGCAAAAACAATTAACCTGCCAGGTAGGGATTAACATGAAAATAATACCACAAGAAGAGAAAGGACATTGGGACAATACCTGCAGTTCTGGAGGTATGAATTAATTGCCTTTGTCACATGTATTCCTTTGCATACCTCCCTACTAGTACACTCTAAATTTGTGCCCACTCTTTTTAATGACACTTTTTATATTTGTAGGAGAATGAAACTGTGTTTATGCATGCAGTGTTATATAGCTACTGTTTTTACTATACTTTTGTTTTAAACTAATTGTATCTCCTGGATGGTTATTAAAAGGTAAGTACACCAGTGTGGGGGTTCCTGAGCTTTGAGAAAGTGGATCCACAGAGAAATAGTTTCCTTCTATACTAGTACAATTTGGAGGAGTAGATATGTCAGTAACCCTATCAAAAGAAAAAATCTTGAAGTCAACTTGACATGACTTGGTTTTACTGAATTTGTGCTGAGTTTTAGTTCTTAACACAACCTTTTCTAAATGCTCATAAATAATATATTCTAGAATTTTCCTATTGATCAATGACAAGTTTACTTATATTTTTATTTACTGTAGTTTCTAGAATATTTTTTTCTTTTTAAAAAGGGAGCATTTATCCATTTCCAGTCTAGTTTCAATCAATCAATAAACATTTATTAAATGCCTATAGAAGAATTGGTATAATCAATAGCTCAAGTGATTAAAAAGTATTTAGAAATTAAAGCCCTTTGTGGAAGCATATTGTTTACCTGTTCCATATACTTGGAGGAGGGGAGGAAGCATCTCTGCTTAGTATCCTAAGAGACCCTAAAATCTACCAAAAAAAAAATTTCTTGAGCACCCACTCTGGGTACCATGCAGAATACTAGGTATAAAAGAACTTGAAAATCATCTAGTCACTACTGTCTCAGAGCTTTTACTCAATGTTGATGGGGGCACAGGCAATTACATATAAACACAGTTAAAAAGTATAATTATATTCATAATCAGCAACAACTGTGGTCAGAATTAAAGCATTGCACATTGCAACCTCCCAACTACTTGAGGAGGTGACAGTGGAAAGAATGTGGAATTTGGAATCATTGGTCCTGGAGTCTAATGCAGTCTCTGCTGCTTACTCCCTGTGTCATTCTAGGTGCATTACTTTACCTCTCAGGGCCTCAGTTTTCCTTCTCCATGAAATAAAAGGACAGAACTACATAACTTCTAAGAACAAAGAACAGAACTATGTCTTTTTAAATTTTTTATCATCCTGTAGAGTAAGGGCCAGCATAACCACCACTATCTTAGAAAAAGGGAAACTATAATGAAGTGACTGTGTAACATTATATGGAAATCCTCTTTTTTAGTTTCCTTTCTTTGTAACGGTTGCTTGCATATTGTTTCAAGTTATCTTAAAAAAAAAAGTCTGCCTTGACTTTTGAAACTGTTAAGATAAATAAAGTAACTTTGTATACTTTTATATAAGTATTGAAACTATATAATACTAAACACCCAAGGAATACAGTATTATGAGAAGTGGGTTTTCAGCTGGCTGAGATGGCCCAGTATTATTGCTTTAGTGATCTTTGAATTCCTTAACAAAATAGTAATGATGATACCCTTGACTTGAGAGCAGAGAACTAACAGTTTTGAATGTAGTACTGAAACAAAACAAAACAAAAAAACACTAATTGTCTTAGTCAACTAGCATTTTCTTAATTGCCTACTATGTGCCTGGCACTTTGTTAAGTGTTGGTGATACAAAAAAAGGCAAAAACAATACCTTAAGGAGTGTCCACATTCTGATGAAAATAAGATCTATATAAGAGAAAGTAAAGATATTTTCAAAGAGAAGGCACTGGCATTAATGAGGATCAAGAAGAACTTTTTGCAGAAGGTGGGATTTTAGCTTAGACTTGAAGGAAACAAGGCTAGGCAAGAGATGAACTTGAGAAGGGACAGAGATCCAGGTAAGGGGATGGTCAGAAAGGCCCAAAGCTGGAAAATGAAGCAAAATGTGCTAAGAACATCAAGGAGAGCAATGTCATTGGGTAAAGGACATTTTTTTACTTGGTAAAGTGTAAGAAGACTGGAAAAGTTGGAGGGGGCCAGGTTATAAAAGGATTTAAAAGTCTAATAGAGAATTTTATAGTTATATCTTTATCTTGGAGATATGAGGAAGACATTGATTGAGCAGGGTGGATGATACGGTTAGATCTGCACTTTGGGAAGATCATTTTGATTGTTGAAGGGAGGATGGATAGAGTGGGGAGAGCCTTGAGGCAGTGACCCAACAGCAGGCTCCTGAAGTAGCCCAGGCATGAATTAATAAGGGCCAGTGGTGGTTGTGTGCTTTAGAGAGAAGGGCACAAATATGAGAGATGTTAAGAAGGTAGACTTGACAGAACAAATTAGATATGTAGGGTGAGGGAGTGTGAGGAGTTGAGGGTGACACCTTGGCTGTAAGGCTGGGTGTGTAGGAGGGTAGAGGTGTCACCCACAGTAATAGGGAAGTTAAGGGGTTGAGGGGTTTTGGAGAAAGATAATTCATTTTGTTTTGGACAAGTTTAAGATGTGTAGAGGATATTCAGCTGGAGAGGTCTAATAGGCAGTTGGAGATGTGAAACTAAAGGTGAGGAGAGGATTCGGGGCTCAATAAATAGAGCTGAGTATCATTTGCATAGAGATGATAATTAAATCCATGGGTACTGAGATCACCAAGTCAAATAATATAGAGGGAGAAGAGAAGTGAGCTCAGGACAGAGCCTTTGTTTAGCCTCCATGGCCTGGATGAAGCCCTAGCAAAGGAGACTGAGAAGGAAGTGGTCAGAGAGGAAGGAGGAGGACCAGAAGAGATCTATATTAGTGAAATCCTAGGAAGAAGAGAGTATCAAGGAGAAGACGGTAGCTGACAGTGTCACAGGATTGAGAAAAGTCCCTTAGATTCAGCAATTGAGACCAATAGTAACTTTGGAGAGAGCAAGTTCAGTTCGTAACAGGTACCACGAATGGGAATAGAGAAGAGATATCAGAGTTCTAGAATGGATCTGCAATCATTGTTGACTGAACCTAGGTGAAACAGGCTGAACCTGAAGACAGGAGAACCTATTTTAATCACAGGCCTGACACATTAGTAGAATCATTACGGGCCAGAACACTAGTTTCCTCATCTGTAAAATGAGGGAAGTGGATTAGAATCTTATCAAACACAATTATTGGATGAGCTCTAAGGTCCCTTCCATCTCCTGTGAGGTGAGTACTAACTATTTTACAGCTAAGAAAACTCAAAGATTTCAGGTCAGCAACCTGCTCCAGGTCCCACAACAGGTTAAGTGGCAGAGCCAAGACCGAGACACAGAATTCCTCACTCCCAGTCCTATTCTCTTTCACTAGACTCTGTACTGCAAATCGACATGGAGTGGCAGCTCTGGCGCACCACATTGGCCCTATCGTAGGCAGTTACTTAACTCAAAAGAGGAACACAGACGAGGTGTTCTTGAGTACCTGCATTGAGGAGCTCAAGGAAGGAGACCCTCCTTGTCTTGTCATTCACTGAGCCAGCATCATCTGGGTGACTGAGGGAAGGGGTTCTAGTAAGGATGTGGGGAGAGCTGAGAGCTTTTTTAAGGGGTACCCTGGAAAAAGAGGTCAGTGGCCTAGGCTGGGGCTCCCTGGAATACGATAGAACTATCCATCTCCATATTTCCTGAGCAAACCAGCCATGGATTCACTGCCACCCCCAAGGAGGACGGCAAGGGTGGGGGGTTGGAGGGGATGGGGGAAACGTGTGGAAGGAGGCGTTTGTTCCGGGAGGGATTTAGGCGGCGCTTTCGCTTCTAATCTGCTTCGAGAACATCTGCCGCCGCTCCACTTGTCGGTGACATCTTGCTATGGTGGAAAGGTTTGGAGGACTGTTGCTCCGGGGATCCGCCGCTGCTACCACCCAGTTCACCCTGCCTTTGGCGTAAAGGCTGCGCTCCAGTCGCAGGAAGGGAAAAGATCCAGAAAGGCTCGGGAGAAGAAGGTAAAATGCAGTCCCCTCCAAAACAAAAAACCCAATCCCATCCCCCCATCCCCGCCCAAATAGCCATGCCCCACATCCCCCACTCTACGGAATGCTCCTTGCATCCCAGACCCCTCTGGCCTCCGAGACAAATTCCCTCAGAACCCCGCCGGGCACCTGTCTCCCAGAGGTGTCACCGCCTCCCAGTTCCGCCCACCCAACCCCGCCACCTCCTCACCCCGCCTGGTTTTATGTCACCCCTTCCTCCAAGCTTCCTCTGGGGCATCACCCTCTCGCTTCTTCCCTCCAGACATCCTCTTCTCCATAGAATGCTCCTTACCCAAAGCAGCCTCCCCTCTCATGCCCAAATGACAGCCACCAGCTTCTCCTCCTCCCCCTTTCCTCCCCCTCTTCCCACTCCTCCGTATCCAGACACCCTGACCTCTTCCTCCTCTTCCGTAGATATGTCCTATGCCAGTGCAGTGCCCTTCCTTTCTCCCTCCCTCCCTGCCTCCATCCTCCCTAGCTCCTCCTTTACCCAGGTCAGAGGAGGCCCGGGCAGCATGCAACAGCCTGGGGTGGCGAACGTCTTTTCCTCGCTCTTCTTCCACTCCGGGGCTCCTCCCCCAGGCCTACTCCGCCATGTCCTCCTCCTCCAGGCCCCAGCCCCGACCCGGTCCAGCCCTGGTCCCCGCCTCTCCGGGGCGGGGCCCCGCACTTTTAAATGTAGCGGCGGGAGATGGTGGTGAGTTGCTTGGGGGAGGGGCTGATTTGTGCCCAATTGTGACTGGAGCTTCATCTTTGATCCTGGGGGCGGGGGTGCGTCGCAGGCAGGCTAAGAGAGCGAGGAAGCGGCTGCCACAAAGAGCTCACCTTGGAATAACCTGAGGAGGAGGAAGAGGGGGAAGGAGGCAGCAGAGAAGGAAGGAAGGCAGAGGCCCGGGGCCTGCCCGCCCCGCCCCGCTGGCTCGGGTCTGGCCGGGACCATGCATTCCGGGAGCAAGGTGAAGAGCGAGTACATGAAGCGCTACAAAGATCCCAAGTGGGACACGTGCGGCTCGTGCTACCGGGAGCTGCTGCACTATCGCCTGAGCCGGCGGCTGCTGGAGCAGACACACAACCCCTGGCTGTGGGACGGTTGGGGGCCGTCCAGCAACTCGGACGATTCCTCGTCTTCGGGGGGTGGCGGGGCCTCCACGCCCCCGGGCCCTCAGGGAGCTTCGACCTGGTCTCCACCTCCGACCCCACCCAAGCCCCTAAGAGAGGGAGTGGAGGAGAAGGAGGCCGAGGTCTCTGAGGATGAGGACGCTGCCAGCCTCCCAGGTAAGTGGTTGGTTGGCTCGCGCCGGACGTGTGCGCCAACCCTAGTCATGGAAATTTGGTGGGGTACGCTCTTGTTTATCAAATTGCTGTCTGAGATCCGGGCGGGAGGGTGAGAGAGGGACTCCCCCCTCCTTCGCCACCCTCCCTTACTGCCTTCTCCTCCCCACTATGCCCATTCATCCCCAGGACCCAAAACTCACACTCCACCCCCCCCACCTACCAGTCCCCGCCTCACACTACTTGTTAACTAGGTGTGCATCCTTGATGAGCAAAATAGGGTGATCAGCTGTCCTCCTCTCTTGTTGCCCTAGTAAGGCTGCTTTGCTTTGGCGTCTTATTAATTTGATTGTTGCTTGGCTACCTCCACTCACCTCCTCCGCTGCTGTGTTCCCAAAGAACAATAAGAAATTTGTTTCAACAGTCATTTTGTTCCTTGATCTCTGTGTTAAAGCCTAATTATGAAAGATATCTTTTTCCTTATCTCATGTTTTTTACATCGCCTCCTTTCCAAATTCGTCCCTTCCTTTTCCCCTACTCAGAGACTCATTCCGTGTACTAAAGAATACAAAAGAGGGGCACAAGGCAGGGTGGGGGTGGGGGTGGGAGGAAAGGAGGAACAACACTAAACCAGACGCTACCAAATCTAACTATAAACAATGCTCCATATCCATAAATCTTCATCTCTGCAAAGAAGGAAGGGAGGGTGCATTGTCTCATTTCTTCAGGTCAAGCTTGATCATTTATAAAATTACACAGAATTTATATATCATTATGAATATTTTTCTAGTTTTGCTTACTTTGTTTTTCATTGACTCATAATGCTGTTTCCCCATGCTTATTTGAATTCTACATATTCATGTTTCTTAAGGGCCCTATAATATTCCATTACATTAATATGCCACGGATTTGTTTAATGGGCATTTATTATTTTGTGTGAAGGACTTTATATGCTGATCAAAAATTGTTCATTACCCTAAAGGTAAGAGGGAGCCACTAAAGCTTACTGAGCAGGGAAGTGACCTGTGTTTTAGCAATATTAATTTGGCACCTTGGAGAGAGAGGGGGATGGGTTGAAGGCCTTGTTAGGAGGATATTGAAATAATCTGGATGGCAGATGAGGAAGGATGAAGAGAGGAAGAGGGTCAGGAGAAATGTGGTGGAGAAAGAATCTGCAAGACTTATAATTTATTACATTTAAGGCAGGAAGGGACAGTTAAGAATCAGGAATGATTACTAGCTTGCCTACCTGGAAGTAGGTGTAACAATCCACAGAAATAGGGAAGTTAGTTCAAAAACTTTACAGTTTAATGATCTTTATGCTTTTCTTTCTTTTTCTTTCTCTCTCCCTCTCCTCTCCCTTACTCACTTTACCAATGTTGTTGGGAGGAAATGCTGAACACATTTTCTGCCTATTTGCTTGTTTTAGGGTTAATTGAAGAGAGGAAGAAAGCTGAATCTCCTTCCTGTTGTCCTATTTTTTTTATTTAACAGTTTGAACCACACCATTTTGCATTGTATTATATTTTTGTACTGTTCTCTAATAATTTTCTATGTAATTACAGATTAGAATGTTAAGGTCTAAAGAATATAAGTGACTTGTCCAAGGTCACAGAGTTAGCATAGCTTGCAGTAGAAACTAGATCTTACGACATTTAAATCCATGTTCTTTGTGTTCAACCAAGAGCTCAACCAGATTTTAAACTTCTTAAAGGCAATGACTGATGTCCCTTCTGGATAGAGAGCTTGATGCTTGTCACAAGTCCAAGGCTGATTAAATGCATGTATTTTGGGCTGACTGGATTTATTTTCATTGCTAACAATCCAAAAGAATATAGATTAGTTTAAGATCACCTTTGATCTTGAGGAACACACTTTGGAAATCTGAATTTATGTTATAAGTAATTTTGCAAAATTATATTTAATATAAGGCAGCTCTTGGTGGAGTATAAAGAACATTAAATGTCATGAGACCTAGTTTCTATTCCAAGTTATGCTAACTCTGTGACCTTGGGCAAATCATTTAAACTCTTAGGACCTTAACTTTCTCATCTGTAATAAGACCATTACCCTAGATCAGTGTTCTCCCAAGTAGGAGCCAGCTTGAAACCAAGGAGAGTGTGATCAACTAATTGGAGAGTAGGAAGATGGCTTACATCTAATCCTTTCTGTGATAGATAGTCATGGACTTTGTTTGCAACACAACCACACCTACCCTTCACTCATTACTGCTCAACTCACCCCCACTTTCCTCCTTCCTGGGCAAAGCTCCTAACCTTATCCCCTTATGGGTTGTGGTGGCCCCTCAGGCTTAGGTTATAACAACCCCCATCTGGGCACCCAGAGTAGCAGCAGCAGTAGCTGCACAGGTGACATGGGGAAAATTCCACTCTCCCCTCTCTAATCCCCCAGCATACCCCAAGGAAAACAATTTATAGATAGAGGTGCTTATTCAAAAAAGTCTAGATGTAATTGGTCTCTAAGCTATACCTTTTAGTCTTAACAGTCTATTAGTAGTGTTAACATAATGTAAGAAACCATCAAAGTGGCATCATTAAAAAAAAAATACAGCATATTGAGTACAAAATGGCCTTAGAAGGAAGAAAAAAAGCAGAAGATAAAAAGCCAGTATGTTGTGAGTGACATGTAGTGAAGCAGATGGAGGCTTTAGGCAAGGATGTGGGTTTTTTTTACTAAATTCTGAAGACCAAATATACTAAAACATCTACATTCTCTGAGTGGCAGTTCACAGCATACATTCACAATCTAACCTTAGGTTAGATAGACTCACACCTCTTTATTAACTATAATTGGAGAGGTCACATATCTTGTCTTCCCTCCTTAAGGATCTTCAGTGACCTTCTGTTGCCTCTAGGCAGCTAGGTGAAATAGGGGATAGAATGCTGGGCCCTGAGTCAGGAAGACCTGAGTTCAAGTCCAGACTCACACCTTACTAGCTGTATGCCTGGACAAGTCACTTAAGCCCTGTTTGCCTCAGTTTTCTTAACTGCAAAATAGAGATCACAGCAATACCTACATCATAGAGTTGTTGTGAAGATCAAATGAGATACTATTTGTAAAGTGCTTAGCACAGTGCCTGGCACTATATAAATGCTTATTTCCTTCCTCATCTAAGATAAAATTACAAATTCTTCAGCTTGGCATAAAAAGCCCTCTCCAACCTGGCTTTAATTTATCTTTCCCTCCTGCTTTCATATTATTCCTGTTTAAGCCACGCTAATTGGTGTTTTTCAAACTTGACATTGCCATTTCCAGCTTCCAAGTATAGACGCCTTGCTCCTCATGCTAGAATCCTTATCTTCCTTCAAAGTCAGCTTATGTACCACTTCTTCCAGGAAGTCTCCCCTGATTCTTATTCCTACCATTGTTAGTGCCCTCTCCCTCCCTTCTAAAATTATCTTGTATTTGTTTGTTGCATGTGTGTTCTTTTCGAGTAAATTGTAAATTGATTGGATGTGTGGGGTGATTTAAGAGTGAGGACTGGAGAATGACTCAATTGAGGTTCAGGGCCTGGATGACTAAAAGGATGGTAGTGTTCTTGTCATAGTTACAGGGAAGTTTGGAAAAGGTATGGATTTGGGGGGAGGGAATAGTGAGCTTTGTTTTGAACATGTGTTTGAAATGTCTATGGGACAGCTAGTTCCAAATGTCCAGTAGACAGTTGGTGATGATGGGAGACTGGAGCTCAGGAGAAAGAATAAGTTTGGTCATCTAGATCTGGGAGTCACTTGCATAGAGTTGACCACTGAAGCCATGGAAGCTGATCAGGTCAACAAATGAGAGAGTATAGAGGAGGGGGAAAAAAAAAAAGGAAGAGGGCCCAGAATAGAGTCATGAGCCATACCCATAATTAGTGGGTGTGGCATTGATGATGATCCTGAGAAGGAGATTTGAGAATGAGTGGTCAGAAAGGAAGGAGGAGAATTAGGAGACAGTGGTGCTGGGAAAACACAGAGAGGACACAGTATGTTTAGGAGGAGAGGGTGGTCAATAGTATCAGATGCTGCCACAGAGAAGTCAAGAAGGATGATAATTAAGAAGAAGCCATTAGATTGGGTAATTAAAAAATCATTGATAACTTTGGAGATTGCTAATGATGAGGTCAATAAGACTGCAGAAGGTTTCGAAGAGTGAGATGAGAGGAAGTGATGACTTTTAAAAGGAGTGGAGCTGAGAAACAGGTGAGATAGATGTAGGATGATAGCTGACAGGGGTAATGGGATCTTGGGAGTTATTTTTTTTTCTTCCCAGTTTTTGGAATAAAAGGAAGGAGGATCATTTTGTATGGAATACTCGTCTTTGGATTACCAACTTTTGTCTTTGCCCATGTCTGCCACAATGTCAACTTAGTAATGTTTAGGACAGAATCTAAAATTTGCTTCTTAAAATAGACTTATGTGAGAGAATTATCTTGTTCCTCTTTTAAAATTATGACTTTTATTATTACTTTGTTGAATTTTACTGCTTGTCTTGAAGCGTTTTTAGCAAAAGAGTTGATCTGTAAAAATTGTTAAATGTTGAGAAAAGGCTTCTCATGTATAAATCAGATCTACAAATCCTCTGTTTTCTGTTCTTATTCCAACAGAAAATGTGTGAGTTGCTCAGAATTGAATACAGAACATTTTCACCACTTAGTTTCAGCCTTGGGACTCTGAATGTCATACTCTAAAATTCTCTGTTCCTATGGGATCAATAGATAAGCATGTGTCATTATTTTGGAAGTGGACAATTTCTAAAATTAGTGTCAGTTCAATTTAACAAACACTTAATTGGTCAAGGTAGTTGTTGGGGACACAATATTTCAAAACAAATCTTTGTCCTTGAGGGCAAAGTCTAGTGGGGGATGGGATAGGGGTGGAATATGAAGAGCATGTATACAAGTTGTGAATACAGTTAGAATGCAAATGTGAGTTGGGAAAAATGCTTTAAAAATTGGAAGAGGGAGACATTGCTTTCATTTTGAATATAGATGTTTTGGAAAGTTTCACAGAAGAAGTAGCATCTGTGTTGGACCTTGAAGAAAAGGAGGGATAAAAAAGGGAGTCTTGTTTCAAACATAGAAAATGATGTGAGCAACAGCAAAGAAGATAAGAGATGGAGAACAGTAAAATTTGAGATAAGGCTGCATCAGGTAGGTCAGTCATATTGTGGAGGACACTCTGAATCACCAGGATCAGTAATTTAAATCAAAAATGGAATCACTGAAGGTATTTAAGTAGAGGAGCAAGAAGATTATAATGGTGCATTAGGAAGATGACTCAGGTACGTATGGAGGATGGACTCTAGGAAGGAAGGCCAGTTAGGATACTGTTCCAAGAGTCTAGGTGAGAAGAGCTTAAGTCCTCAACTATGGTAATTGCAGTGGGAATGGATGTCTATAAAGGGAGTCCCTTTATACCACTGTTAGAGACTGAATACTCATTTGGATAGACAATGGGTCCAATCCCTCATAATCCATCTATTGGAAAATGCTGTTGTCTAGCTTAATAGCATTTAGATACAGGATAATCTTTCAACCTTTCAAACTTTCAAACTTTATTTGGAGAATTCACAACAGGTTAGCTGAGGGAGTAACCATGGAAGTGCATCCATTATTACGATTTGAACAGTTGTAAAACTAAGGAACTAGCAAACCTATGTAAATTTCATTCAGGAATCTTCCAGGAGGAGGATTGAAACTGCAATTAACTGTTTTTAATATTTTAAGATGCTAAATAGGTATAAAAGTTTTTTTCTGAAATAAAGCACTAAAATAGGACATACTTTTCCTTGAGCAAAATCAATATTGATCATGAAGAGTAATTTCTTTCTGTTTTTGTTTTGTTTTATTTGTATTTGCAAGGGGAGTAGAAGTGGGCTGCTTCAATAGAAAAAGCACTGGACTTGGAGTCAGAAGCCCTGGGTATCAGTTCTAGCTCTGACGTTATGACCATGGGAGATTTGTCCCAGAACCTTTTTCTAAGCTCCAGTTTCCTCATTCATAAAATGAGGATACTCTAATGTACCATCTACTACTGCACAGGGGTTGTTGTTAGTAAAATGTTTTTGTAAACTGCAAGGGGTATCTATCTAAATGTGAGCTATTATTGTTTTGCACTGGGTTGAGATTTCCCTGTTTCTATCTTGAGTGCCACCGTTCAGTGTCTTCCATGTTAGAAACACATGTTGTATAGGTTTTTGTTTTCTCCTCCTCTTTACCAACTCTCTCCCCTAATCATATTTCTAATTCTACCATATTTTTCTCAATAATTTTTTACAGCTACTACCTTGATTCAGATCCTCATTACCACCTTTATTTTTCAGTAGTCTTCCAACAGGTCATTGACTCCATTTTCTCTCACTTCTCATTACACAACTGCCAAGTTCATCTTATACATAGATTTGATCATGTTCCCTCTGCTTAAAACTCTTTGGTAACTCCTCATTGACTTAAATCCATAGCCTGGCATTCAAGGTTCCTCAAGATTATGGTATATATTATTCTACCTTTCTGGCCTTATTTTGAATTATTTCTCCTCAACATGTATGCTCCAGCCAAACTAGGCTTGTGCTGTTCATCTTCTGCCTTGACTCATGTATTCCCTAAATTTGTCATGTCTTCCCTATCATCTCTGTTGAAATCCTATCCTTCCTTTAGGACCCAGAACAAATACTGCATCTTCTAGAAGTCTTTCCTGATCTCCAATTTCTTCCCCTCCTTCAATCTCAAACTTGGTTTTCTATCTTTCTTTGTGTACTTTATGTATCATTTTGTATTCTAGTGATTTGTGTATGTGCTGTAACCAACTCCCTATTAGATTGTGAGCTCCTAAGGACAGAGGAATGGTCTTGTTTTTCTTTATATCTCTCCTAAACCCTCTAGCGTAAGTAGATGATGCATAAGAAAGAAATGCTTGTTCTAGTTGTTGTTGATTTCATTTTCAGGATTTGAGAGTCTGGTCCATCACTCTTTCTTGCCAGTACTCTGCATTTAATGCAGAGATTAATACTCAAAACAATCCAATTTATATTATTTGAACATACTGTTCTATCAGTGCATTCCTCAACTTTTTTTTTAAATGAGATAAATTCAAGTGTTAAAGATTTTTTAGATTCTAAATAGTTGTATTTCTTTCCCCCCCAATTAACACACATTTATTTTCTCTCTCCTACATTCTCCTCTCCTCTAATGAGCAACAACAAAAAGAAAACTAAAACCCTCATAACAAATATGTTCAGTCAAGTGAAACTTATTCCATCATTGGCTATGTCCAAAAATGCAAGTCTCATTATTTTGTATTTTGAGTCTGTCATCTGTATGTCAGCAGATGGATGCTGTGCTTCATCTTCAGTCCTTTAGAATTGTGGCTTGTCTTGCATCAATCAGAGTTCCAAAGTCTTTCAAAGTTACTTTTCTTTATAATGTCATTGTATAAATGGCTCTTTTAGTTCTCACTTCACTCTGCATCACTAAATTTCTTTTGTTAAATCAAATAGTTACTTGTTAAGTCACTGGGGTCCATATTTTTTCATCAGATATATAAATTTACATGTAATCAGTAGGCACAATGGACAGAGTGCTGGGTCTGGAGTCAGGAAGACCGAAGTTCAAATCCAGCCTCAGATACTTTACTAGCTTTATGACCTTGGACATGTCATTTAACTTGTTTATCTCAGTTTCTTCAATTGTAAAACTGAGATCATAATAGCACCTACCTTTTGGGATGGTTTGTAAGGATCAAATGAGAGAAAATTTGTAAAGTGCCTGGCATATAGCAGGCACCATACAAATGCTAGCTATTATTATTATTGTTGTTGTTATTTTCCTTTTTCTTTAGACTCCTAATTATGATATTTTTTTTAAAGAAACATCTGGAAAAGACATACAAGAAAAAAGTAAACAGCAGAGGGAAGCAAAAGAACAGATAGAAGTGAAAGATACCACTGAGCATCCTCGCCAATGTGCCTTGCTTGCTAAAGCAGATAAGAAACCAGCTAAAAGTCCTCAAAGACCAAGTAAAACAAAAGAAATCAAACATCCGTTTGCTCTTTATGGCTGGGGAGAAAAACAGACAGATACTGGGAGCCAAAAAACACATAATGTATGTGCTTCTGCTTCGGCAAAACAGGTAAGTTCCTTGGGTGCTGAGCTCACTTTTCACCTCATCTGGAGGAGAGGAGAGGCTGACAATATTGATACCATAAAGCGCTGCTTTCCATCCAGTATCCTGGGACATTCCCACATTAATCTGTCTGGGTCTTTGGATACAGCTGGATGAGGCAGGCCAGCAAAGTCCAGGGCCCCAAAGGATGTATATATAAGTCTGTACAGCAAAGACTCGCAGTCAAGAGGTCAGTTAGTAATTCAGATTTATGCACTGATTTAAGGCTTGTAGTTTCTTCCCAACAATTCTGAGGGGTTAGGTAGAACAAGAATTATTTTTTCCCACTTGAGGAAATGGAGACTGCCAAGAGATAAGATGACTTGCCCATAGTCAACCCAACTAATGAGTTGGGATTCAAGCTTAGGTCTCCTGATTTTGAGTTCATTTTCTTTCTGTTCTACCACACTATTTCTTCCCTTTTCCCTATGCAGTTAGCACAGGAAAAGGATATAGCAATATCATAAATCCAGGAAAGAAGAGACTCTCTAAGGGTTCAGAAAAAACAAAAAACAAAAACAAAAACAGGTAACAGATTCCAGGTAGGAAGAATTATTATTAGAATATGCAGTAGCATAAAGCAAGAAGGGACAAACAAATTGGAATGAGTAAATAAGAGCAATGTTGACTTCAGAGAGTAAGATTCTCTGCTTTGATTTTATTCTCCTTATTGAACATGGAGGCAGGCAAGTGTCTGTATGTAAGAATAGAGAGATTTTTGTAGGTTCCAGAACCCCTTATTAGAGTATGGTATGAGATACAGACTTTCTAAGCATTCAATTACAAGTATGTAGTAGCATGCTGTGAAGCTGTCTTTGGTGTCACAAAATGCTGGATTTCCTTTATCTCTTTTTGCCCATTTTTTTTTGACCAAAGGGGTCAAGACAAGAAGGTGAATTGTGTGTGTGTGTGTGTGTGTGTGTGTGTGTGTGTGTGTGTACACACTTTGTTTCCTACAAAACCAGCAATTGTTGTAGACACTGGGAATAGAACCTCCTAGGATATTAATTCTCTCCTTCAGCTTTGCTAAGCTAGCTATCTTGTATGCTGAATCTTTGTGTCACAATAAGAAGTGTTAATATACAAATCTCATATCCCAGTAGTTACTGAAAGTCATATGGAACCCTTTTTAATTTTTGCTCAAATGTCCAGTATTATCATACTTTTATTCTCTCCTTATATATTATAGCTAATATGTTTAACTTCCAAGAACTTGTTTCTCTATACCATAATTACGCTTCCTTTTAGACATTCCTAACTTAATTACTTATCCCCTTACACTTTAGTCCTTATTCACCTTGTGAGTGGGCCCTGAAGACTGATTTCTGAGCATCCTAGTTTCTAAGTAGTTTTCTGGGAAACAATATTATTGTTAATAATATATTAATAGCTTAGAAAAAACTCCTTTTTTTTTCTTTTTAGCATTGAGGGGCAAATTCTTAGTTTAGGTCAAATTTCATTAGCAACAACAAGAGAGTCTTAGCTTAACAAAATGCTTTCAAACCACAGCTGTAATGTTCTTTTTAAAACAATATTTGGACATTTCAGTAAAGAATTTGGACAGTAACCACATGGAATTAATAACATAACAAGATTTTACCTGTAGCATTTTGATATTTCTAGCTAATTTATTGAACTATAATCTTAAGAATTCATTTGGATGGTTAGTCTACACTGAGTCTAAAATAAATGTAAATTGACTTGGAAAGCAGGAGTAGGCAGGGCTCTGAATATAATCTAGCCAAAGTGTCAGATTTTGTTTGCAGATTATTTGAGCCCACTTTGAATCTCAGAAATTTTTGCTTTACGACTTGGAGTGAGAGTGGCAAGTATCTATCTCATTTAGGACTTACCATAGAATAGCAAACAATTTTTAGATTATTTAGTGTAGCATTTCCAATAAAAGCCCATATATATCCAGATCTCTTGGGACTAAGCCAGTCAGAGGAAAATCCAGAGTACAGATATGCTTATGCATTTATAATATATATGCACTTATGTTTCCATGTAATCTGATGCAGAGGTATATGAACTGTCATAGTAGAATATTTTCAATACTATTCCCACTAAACTTCAATGTAAACACACAGGAGGAGTGTTTTATATTCACCTTCCTTTATGTAGGTCAGCTGGAATTCAATAAATGAGCTTGGTATTAAATTTAACCCTTGAGTGGTGGAGGAAATCATGGGAGAACACCTCTTTTAGGGATCAAGAAAGATGAAGGGTCAAATAAATTATGTAAATAGAAAGAAAACTATATTCCAAATTTTAGTCTGGCAATAAATATAAAAGATTTATTCAAGGAAAAAGCACTTGTTTTCTAATGCCTAGTGGTTCAAAAAATGGTAATGATTCATTTATTTAATTATTTAATTCTGAGTGAACTAACACACTCAGGCATTATTCACCACCATAGAACACTGGCACTAGTCTCACCATTTCCTGACTTTCTTCATCTAACCTATCCTGCTTTATAGGCCACTAAGCCATCTTTTTTTTTTAAATGTTCTTTTTTTTTATTAATTTATTTTGATTTATCAACAATCACTTCCATATGCTTTTGAGTTTAAAATTTTTCTCCCCCTTCCTCCCCACCACCCTCCCCAAGATGGCACACAATCTGATATAGTAAGTCATCTTCTTAATATATATTTCATCACTTCCCAACTCAGAAAACTTCCCTGGCTCCCCATAACCCACAGAGTAAAATCCCAACTCCTTTACCTGGCACTTTATGCCTCTGTGATTAGGCTTTCACCTCCTTTTTCCATCTTCTTCCCACTTCCCCTGCCTTTCTCCCCCAACAAATGTATACCCTTTTCTAGCGATTTCAATACAGCTAGGTGGCACAGTAAATAGAGGGCCAGGCCTAGAGTCAGGAAGACATCTTCCTGAGTTCAAATCTGGCCTCAGAGACTAGCTTTGTGACCTTGGACAAGTCACTTAACCCTGTTTCCCTTCGTTTCCTCATCTAAAAATGAGTCGGAGAAGGAAATGGCAAACTACTCCAGAATCGTTGCCAAGAAAACCCCAAGTAGGGTCACAAAGAGTCAGAAAATGACTGAATAAAAGCTATGTCAATCTCACTGTTCTCAGACAAGCTCAATTTCATTCTGGTCTTTACATAAATACACACTAAGGCATTGAAGTAAAAAGATAAAATGGGTGGACACTACATTTTGAGAAACATTAATTCTAGGTCATACTTAACTAGAATAGATTCCGTAATTCATCTAGTTTCAGCATTTATTATGGATACTAGAATGTGCTAGAGAATGAAATTATGGAACACCCATCCCTGAAGGGCAGCATGCTACAGTGGAGATAAGCACTGGCTTTGGAGTCAGAGCTCCAGGGTTCAGATCCTGGCTCTGCCACTTGACTACTCATGTGCCCTTGTCCAAGTTACTTTACCTCTCTGAGAGGGCCTTAGTTTCTCCTGGAAATGGGAGAGTTGAACTAAATGGCCTCTCTGGTCCCTTATAACTGTAAATTTATGATCCGAAAGGACCACAGTGGGGTAATCTTCCTGGGATGGTTTCAGGGCTGTTCTGCACTAAAAATTTATGAAAGTTCTTTTTTTTTTTAAGTTTAGTCTAATGCCTTACAAAGTCCATTACTTCCTGATAACCTTCCTGTAGAACCCTCTCTCATTGCAAAGAAAAACAAGTAAACAAAACTAACATATCAATTATATCTGATGCTGTGTATATGCTGGATCTCATACCTGCAGTCCACCATCTCTACTGAGAGAAGGGAGATAATGTTTCATTATTAGCCTTCTGGAATCAAAGACTAGTAACTTCATAGGTGGTACAATGGATAGAGCACTAGACCTAGAGACAGGAAGACCTGAATTCAAACCTGGTCTCAGAACTTACTAGCTGTGTGGCTTTGGGCAAGTCCCTTAACCTCTGTTTTCCTCAGTTTTCTCATCTGTAAAATAGGAATAATAATAGCACCTATCTCTCAAGGTTATGAGGATCAAATGAGATAATGATTATAAAGCATTGCACAGTGCTGGGCACATGATTTAAAAGTGAGCTGTCACTATCATCATCTGAATTATGTCTTTTATTGTTGTTTTCCTTTACATTATTGTAGTTATTGTATATAGTGTTGTCTTGATTCTGCTTTCTTCAAAGTTATATATTCTTTCTAGCCATTAAAATCCCTGTGTCCTTCATGAATCATTATGAACTAGGATTCCTTTCAGTTCTGAAATTCTCTGAGTTCATTAGAAGACTGACAAACGGGCATGATCACTGCTAACAGTTCTATCATAAGTTCACCAAAGTCAAGTTTTTAGTTGTATCTCTAAAAACTGGGCCTGTGAAAATAAAAAAATTCTTTAGATTTTTTGAACTGGACCTATAATTTTATGAGTATGGGGAAGTGCCAATGAGGGAACTCCATCTACCAAAGCAGACAGGCACCTCCTTTGCAACTGAATCTTAGAGAATTTTCTAGACCACTGAGAAGGTTAAGTGACTTGCCTAATGTTATATAGCCAATATATGTCAGAGGTTACACTTGAACCCTAGGAATTTATGACTCTGAGGCAGCCTCTCTCTTTTTATGCCTCTTAATTTCTTTCATTAATTCATTAACTATTTTTTGTTTTATTGTTTGGTTTAGACCCGTGATTTCCTTAGTGTGGGGTATTCTTGGCATGGGAACTCCCTTCACTGATAAAGACTAGCATTTCTTTTTCAACTTTAACCTAGTCTTAGATGCTAGTGACCCTGAGAAAAGAAGTTAAATGACTTCCTTGTCTGCTGCTACACAGCTAGTATGTTTCAAAGTCAGGACTGTCCACTATCTCATGATGCTTCTCCTTCCATTTGTTAAATACATTTAAATCCTTATTTGATTTTGTTCTATTTCATGAATCAGTAGGCTGGCTTTAAGAAAAAAAATAGTTTTGACTGAAATAGTATTTTGTTAATGCCAAGACAATTTGATTTTTGATACTTAAATTTTTTTTAAACCTTCACAGATTCATGAATCAGCATTACGAGCCAAGAATAGAAGACAAGTGGAAAAAAGGAAACTGGTCATTCAGAGGCAAAGAGCCTATTCTGTAGATGTGCAGAAACCCAGAAGGATCAAGCCTTCCTCTGCAGATAATCCATGGATGACAGAATATATGAGATGCTACTCAGCAAGAGCTTGAGGAAAGAAAAATGTGCTTGTATAACCTCATTAAAAACAACAGGACATTGGTTTAGAAAACCAAATGATTATGTAAGGTTTTGTTTAGGGGGTTCCCAAAAGAGCGTTTTTTAAAATGTATTCTGGTAACCTACCTCTGTAGTAGGGCAGATAGCTGAAGCCATAGACATTTGAAGTTATTCATGATGATCATTCCCTAAGTCTCTGGTATTCTTGAGTTTTTGAAGCATCTTAATCTTTGGAGAAAATGACACCAAATGACTTTTAAGTGGCAAGTTTTATAAGATGCTTAGTAAGCAGTATTTCATAACTGCATAAGGAGCCCATTCTCTATCTCTCTTGAACACCAGCAAACCCTGTAGAAAGTAAGATGGTTCCATTTTGTACCTAACACAAGCCAGTTTTCAATTATATGAAATTTTACCGAGTGGAAGAATTAATAGCTAAAGGACAGTCATTTCTGATAGCTGTTCTTTTGATCCCTATCAACTCCTGAAATGAGTTCTGGTAAAAACTGAACTTACTCCATTTTTTTTTCACCGGCTCATTTACCGTTTCATGTGGATAGCAACATTCAGCATTTTTCTAGGTTTGACCTCACTTTTTCTCTCTACTGTGGCACTTATTATTTTTAATACCCCAAACACATTCCATTTGAGAGATATCCATGCAGTAAATATTAGGGTAGGACTGAAGTTTCTTTGTGTCAAAGACTGTCACAAACTAAGTTTCCCACTGCAGAACTTTTTCTCTCGGAGCACACTCCTAGTGACTTAAGACCTGCTTGCCCGATTTTAATCATGTGCTTTGTCACTTGTGTACCAGTTGGATTTTAAGAATAAATGGGCTTCAGAGCAGTAAGTTTTAGAATTTATACTCAAACTTAGAATAAATTTATAAGTATTGAGGTTCTGGGACTTATCAGGAAGGGGCATCTTTTAGAAATTATGTCAGGACATCGGGGTATAGCCTCATTTCTACTTGCATTGCTTTCCTTTCCAAAACTAATTCAACAATAAGCAAACTTGGGCTTTATGCAGTCTTCCTCAGACTTATTAATTCACTGGCATTCCTTATTTGATATTCTTATGGCAGGACATAGTCTCAGGGAAGGAGTGTATGTTTCCCTGCATTATGTGTAAGAATTCAGGGGGAATTCTCTCTCTCTTGGGCTCCAAAATGTCTTTAAAATATAGTTTCCAGCTGAGTCTGAACATGGCTTCTTTCTCCATTTGTTAGGGATGGGGACCTGATTGTAGGCTCTGATTCTAAAGATCCTTAAAAGGAAAAGGAAAATCTTGCATATGTAGCTCTAGCAGCCACATGAACAAAAATTAATGTTATTATAACAGGTGCTTTTAGATGTGAGACTAAAGTTTTTATTCTCAGTCTATGGAACAGTGCAAACAACTGTAGTGTATATATCTACTCTGCTTACTATTTTTCCCCCCATCCTCATTTGGTCTTTAAATATATTTTACTTGTTTAGTTATAAATATATTAAGCTTTGAAAACTGATTTCTAAATAGTAATAGCCTTTCTACTTAAGTGTAATTTTTGACCTTTATATGGTTTTGAGGTTCATTCTTTTGTTCAGAGAGCTGTCTGTGCTTGTCATTGAACCATATGATATAAGTTAAGTGAAATCTCTTTATTCCATATATCATCACCAAAACCAAATCACCAATGCATGTCAGCACTTCTGGTGATAATCCTCTAAAGTCATCATTAGTTTATTATGCTATAGACACTGGAAGTACCAGATGTCCAAATGAATGTGGCAATGAATGGTAGTTGTGTAAATGCATATAAAATTCAGTGTTCTCAAGTAAATTCTCACCTGGTTGGATTTAGTAATCAAGCTTAAACTTTTCATATCACAGCTGACAATCAGAAAGTGGCACTGTGAAGTAAGGTAGGTTTTAAATGTCTATAAATAGCCTTAGAAAATTCATTTTCAATTCAATATTTTTTAAAAGCCAGCCTTTTTCTAGTTTAGAAAACTGACTTGCATGTAACTAACTTACTACTGTGAAAATCCAGACAAACCAACACAAAGCTGAAAGGTGAAACTGATCAAAATAATTTTGTTCTAAAACAACCAGAAGTATAACACAAGTAAAGTTTTAACCCTATTTTTTTTGATATATACTGATAACTTACATTGATTTCTTTAAAAGTGACTATAATGATCTTGTCAATTTTTTTAGAGGTATAGGAGAGACATTGATTCAACTCTCCTTTCCATTAGATTACAACCTATGAAACTCAAATGTCTTATCAATTTTTTCCTTTCTTATAAACAAATATAATTTCTCATAATGCTGTTACAAGTTCTCTGTGATAACTTAGAAAATAAGGTAGTATAAATTATTTCATGTAGAAGAAGTTTGAGACTGAGAATGTGATCTTTTTAAAATCTAGAATGAAAAGGCATTTAAATGATGAAGTGTGGCTATGAGATTTCTCCTTCCCAAAGTTTAGCTTTAATATCTTAGTTAAAATCTTTTGCCTTGAGTATGCTCCTTCCCTTTGGCCAAGCTCTTTTATTCCTTCACCTTCAAAGTAGTAATAGAATTTTGAAAGTAATGGCAGCTGTTTATGTAAATAAAAGTGACTATTTCCTTCTCTCCATGTCCCTTAATACTTACTTAAAACAACAACCAAGTAAGGTATTAAAAACAATAGCAACAAACTCTTCTCATTTAGAAGGTTGTGCTTCTGGCACTTCCCTTTCTAGAAATGTTTATGTACTACTTTTCCTATTGGTTTGCTATTTTTCTTGTCCAGTATGTTAATGAATTATATGAAATTTGATGCCCTTAATGAAAATACTAATGAATAGAAGACTCATATGAGGTCTTTAACTTGTTTGAAGGTAGACTTAGAGACTCAGGATGCTCTATATTGAATCTGCTTAGGTTATGTGTGCTTGAATTAGATCCAAAATCAGTTTGCTAAAACTAGAAGGAGACAGTAGTAGCGTGCCTTGCTTGGGGCCACTTCCCTGTCTTGGGCAACTAAGTCATGTCAAGGAAAGGTTCAAAGTAATGGCATGGCTACTGCAAATTATGAGTGTCTGAAAGGAAATGATCCTGCATAACCTTCTTTACAAAATAAGTCTTATTATGTTATTTCCACCCAACTTCTAAGCTGTACAAATTCAAGGTCCTGGAATTCTGGGAACAAAAATTCCTCGTGAAATGTTGTGATACAGTCATATTTATAAGTACCCAAAGTGTTAATGGGCAAAAATAGACACACAAAGTACATGTCAGAAGTGAAAATCTTGTTAAGTGGAATATTTCAGTGAAAAAGACTTTTGCATTTCATTAGATTTAAAGACCACACAGGGTGAGATGTGTTTACATAAGCTTAAATCTCTAGTTTGCTTGGTGTCAAACTGCCAATCTAATATGACCTGTATAAAGACCTTGTTATAATTTGTCTCTGGCACCAGACAAACTATATAAAAGAAATTAGCATGCTTGCTTCAAACTTGTGCTTTTGAAAATTGCTTTGCTACCATTTTAAAAATGACAGGATGATAGGATATTTAAATGCATGACTGTGCTCAATATTAAACCATATGTGGGAAGTATTGTCTAGATTTAAGATCAACCATGACCCCCTTAACACCTGTAGAGGAATGTGGGCAGTTCTGGATTCCAAATGGTTATTTTTCTATAATCTATATAGCTTGGAACTTGTTCAGGGAATGAAAACATTCTAAGCCCCAATACTCTTTCTAGGAAAGAAAAAAAAATGCTTATACATACTTAAACAAGAGGCCTTTTGAATGAAAATTTTATTATTGGTAATAGTGACAAAAAGCTCTTAGCTATTTTTAAGGGCACTCAAAGGATATTTATGAGCATAATTTCCCATTTCAATTTCAGCAGACCATGCATTGGATGTGGTCTTTTAATGAACAAAACCAGGGTTGGGGAAAATTACCCCAAGTTGATATATATATATATATGTATATTTTAGCACTGCATTCACTTTAAATTCTAAGAAGTGTAGGCTAGACTAATCATAAAGTTCTGGCAATGTGAATTTCAGGTTTTACTTTTCTAAGGTAATAGTATGTATTCTTTTCAGCTTCTCCAATGTTGTATTTACTTGTATAAATGTGAATAAAATTAATATCTACAGGTAAATTATAATTTTGTGAAAAATAATTCTGAGTTGGTGTACAAATAGTTGAATATTAAAAAGGATCAGAATTTTAAACTTTAAGGATAAATTTTGTTTATTGGTGCCTTATTTTTTATACAACGCAGTCCTTGACTGCTTTATACCAGTCTTCTTGACTCTCACCCTTTCCTTCCCTAATTGAATCTGTATAATATGGTTGTTTATCCCTGAAGGCTACGTAGAAAGATTTTAAAAATCTACTTTCCCTATGGAAAAGACTCTGGACTTCACACCAATGCAACCTACCCATGCCTTCCTATTCTGGGCAATTTTTATCTAACTTTTTATATGAATCCCTCTACAGAGGAACTAGCCAATATATTTCTTTCCCCTTCAGACGTGAGCTAATTGTACATGGGTTACATATGTAAGTTGTTTTCTACTTCTTTATTTCTCCTTGATTTGCTTCTCCCTCCCTCACCCTTTGGGGGAGGCAGCCCCCCCAGCCACACACATTTTAAAGTGATTTTTTAAAATTAGAAAAAAAATTACCAATTAACAAAAATTGCTTTTTTTTTCACCACTGGCAGGGGGCAGAAGGAAACAGAAAAAAACCGTAGTAACATATACATAGTCAAGCAAAAAAAAAATTCCCACATTGGCCATGTCCCAAAAATACATGTTTCTTTCTTCACCCTTTAGTCCCATTACCTCTCTCAGGATGTGAGTAGTATGCTTCATCACTGGTCTTCGGAAATCATGGCTGGCCACTGTTATCTATCAGAGTTCTTATGACTTCCAAACTTGTTTTTATGGTATTGTTTTTATAGTACAAATTATCCTCCTGGTTCTCCTCACTTCACTCTGCACTGGGTCATACAAGTCTTTCCTGGTTTTTTGGAAACTTTCCTCTTGATCATTTCTTATGGCATAACAGTATTCCATTACATTCATATATATAATTGTTCATTCCCCAATTGATGGGCACTCTTTAATTGGAAACCCCTTAGTTTCCAATTCTTTGCTATATAAAAAAAATATAGGTCCCTCTCCTTTTTCTTTGATCTCTTTGAGGGTATAGGCCTTCTAGCAGTATTGCTGGGACAAAGAGTATGCATAGTTGAGTAACTTTTAAGGCACAGTTCCAAACTGTTGTTCTAGGGAGTATAAGTTATTACACACTGTTTCTTGCCATCATTTTTTTTTTTCAGGACCATCATTTTTTTAAACACAGCCAATGAAGCAGCAAATATTTGAGTACTTATTTATTTATTAAGTACTTATTAAGCTAGAGCTGGGGATGCATAAAATCAAGACACATACCCTGTTCTCAAGGGGCTTATATAATGAGGAAGATAAGACAAAGCTGATATATGGTGGAATGTGACAAGTCAGAAGTCCAGAAAAAGTACTATGAGAAATTGGGGAAGGGAGAGATTACTTTTAGCATGGGGCCAGTGGAAGATTTGTGTGGAAGACTCATGGCACCTGAATTTTGTCCTAAATTAGAAAATGGAATATTGTTAACAGGCAGAAATTGGGGTGGGGTTGGACAAAGGGAACCTCTTTCAGGCATGGAAGGCAGCATAAACAGACACGGAGAAGGGAGAAGACAGGAAAAGATGTGAACACTGGGTAGCTGAGTTTAGTCAGAGCAGAGAAACTGACAGGGAAGAGTATAACAAAAGAAAGGTTGGAGCCAGATTGTGGAGTGCTTTTAATGTTCTCCATATAGAATAGTTTATACTTCATTCAGTAGACAATGGGGATTTCTGAGAAGAGGAATGGCTGGATCATTGTAGTATTGTATTGGGAGGATTATTCCAATCAATATGTAAAGCAATGGATTGGGGAGAGGAGATGGCTTCATCAGAACAGGTAATGCCAGGCCAAATTAATTTCTTTTATCATTGAAAAACTCAAAAGTAATTGGTGAAATGTTCCAAATAGTTTACCTAGTTTTGGCAAAGCATTTAATATGATCTGGTACACTCTGCTTGGGGACATGATGGAGAGGTGTAGTACTAAAGGAGTTTGGAATTGGTTGGATGGCAGGGTGTAAATAGTAGACATTAATGGTTTGATGTCACCTTGGAAGGAAGTCTAGTAGAGTCTCAGGGAGGTGTAGTTGGTTTTATGCTTTTCAATATTTTTATTGATGATTTGGCTAAACGTGTAGTTGGCATACTTATCACATTTACACATATACAAAAAGCTGGGAGAGAGCTAATCCATTGGTTGGTAAATCAGGATCCAAAATGATCTCAACCTTAGGCTAAAATAATAAAATTCAATAAGGAAAAATGCAAAGTCTTGCACATGAGTTAAAATCCCCCTTTATAAATCAAGATGAAGGAAACATGCCTAGCACATTATCTGAAAAACACTTCAGGTAGTGGACTACAAGCTCAGTATGCATCAGTAAGATGAAATGACAGTCAAAAGAACTAATACAATCCTAAACTCCATTAAGAGAATACATAGGCTAGAATGATGGTGCTACTCCCATGATACTCTATCCTACTCAGATATATGAAAGTTAATGTTTAGTTCTTGGTCCTACATTTTAGGAAAAATATTGATGAGCTGATAGGATGGTCTATAATAGTTCCACCTGTACCCCTCTATCATCCCAACCCCCAGCATCACGCTTTATAACAAAGATTCTTTTAAAAAGAAAAAAATTCAGTAAAAACAATAAACACATTGAAAAATTCTATATCCATGGGCCCCTTTTTCTACAGAGGAATGGGGGTGGGAGAAGGAAGTACCTCTTATATCTCTTCTTTGATGCCAAGCTTGGTCTTTTTAATTTTACAGTGTTCAGTTTCAATGGTTTTTTTGGTTTGGTTTTTTTTTTTTTTTGGTGTTTTCCATTTACATTGTTGTTATGTATATTGTTTTCCTGGCTCTGCTTACTTCACTTTGCATCAGTTCAAGTAAGTATTTCTATGCTTCTCTATTCATCATGTTCATTGTTTCACTGTGATACTGCATTCCATTAATGTTTTGCCATTTCCCAATCCATGGCTATCTTTGTTTCCCATCTTTGCTATGACAACAAAAAAAATGCTGCTATACATATTTTGGTGTATATGAAGCCTTTCTTTTCAACATCATCATTTTACACATGAGGAATCTGAGGCAGAGACAGGTTAAGGGACTTGTCCCTTGTTACATGGC